TCGGGACTTCGGGGAATCTATACTTGCCTGGATGCACTATAATCGGCGAAACTCAGAACTGCGTAAAGATGATAAGAGAGGAGGTGCCGTAGGCCGGTATCGTCTTCAAAATATATGCAACATGGATCAGACACCTGTTCCTTTCGAGTATCTGGAGGGGCGGACTTACAATACGGTTGGAGACAAAACTATTTGGCTTCAGTCAACAAAATCTGGATGGGATAAGAGGCAAGGGACCATTCAACTCACGATTTTTGCAGACGGAATTCCTCGGGTTGCACCTCTTGTCTTTTTTCGCGGGAAAGGAATTGGGGCCTCCATCCTCTCAGAGAAGCAACAATACGATCCACGTGTTGTGGTAAAATTTAATCCAACGGCATATGCCAATTCAACCAATATGGTTGAATGGCTCGAAGAGCAACTCATTCCTGTTCTTGAGAGTCAGCCAACACTGATCGCAATTGATCTTTTTTCGGGACATAAGACAGAAGAAGTTCTCGATACCTTCAAAGCCCACGATATCACCGTTAGCATCATACCAGCGGGCTGTACCGGGATTGTCCAGCCCCTCGACATCTCCATAAACCGACCCTTTAAGGATATATTAAAGGTAAGTAGGTGTTCAATCAAAGTGAAACTGAGAGATAGGATCCTACTCAAAGTACCTAGAAGTATCAACATACCTTTTTTAAGCTTACTAACTTTAAACTATGTATAGGAAACGTTAGAAATGCGACTTACGGGAATCGAAGACGAGGAGGAGAAGGTACTTACTGCTGGGGGCTCATTACACAGTAGTATGATTGGTCGTCGGCGTGTAGCAACTACGTGGGCGGTAGGCAAAGCGTGGGAGCGGTTTTCGCTAGAGCGAGCGGAGGTTGTTCGAAAGGCCTTTCGAGTTGTTGGCCTCTCGCTTCCTGTTGATGGAAGCGAGGATGAGGAAATATCTGTTAAAGGGTTAGCAACAGATTTTCTAAAGGAGGGGCTATCAGACTGGAGAGTTGGGGGGGCGGTTGAAGCTGATGACCAAGAGCTTGAGGAGGAAGATGAAGATGAAATCAATTTTTCCTATGATTAGATTAGTACCAAGACTTTTAAAACTGATATTGCGCAATCCTGTCAGTAATACTTAGCGTGACTCACCTTAATTCTACCTCCTAGCACATAGGCCAATTATTCGAGATTTTACGGTACTGAGTGTGGTTCGATCGACTGGTGCCGAGGGGTCCCTATATGATATAATACTGGTGGTACTCGTACAGTGAATTAGCATCCCGACTCTTTCTTTACGACAGAATCCTCGAATGGATCAAGGTCAACAACATGTGGGATTGATTAATGCCGAGCGCCCCCGGAATGCCGATAATGGTTACCGTATGGCACGGGGGGGCATCAGCTCCCATCAACCCATTATCATATGACAGGAAAGGGACTCCCATTCGTCGCTCCCTCCACCTGCTCACCCCCTGCCATCAAGAAAACACACTGCTCGTTCCCAGCCACAATGCTGCACTCGCGCCCCACGCCTCACCATAGGTGATGCCCCATCCCCTCCACCACCATCCGTCGACTCCACCATGACGGGCACTTTCGAGCTCGCTGTAATCGACACCTCCTGCCTCGAGCCACCGTGCAAGAAACGCAGGCTCACCCACACTGTCGCCCTCGATCTCTTCGATTCACCGCGGCCCTCCTCTCCCGAGCCCCCCCATGAGAAAACACCCCACGCTCATCCCAGCCGCAAGGGAGGTGACGACAATGACGAGATGATGGCGGATGGAATACTTCCGATGGCGGCGGTCCCGGATGTCATATCTACGGCCTACGATGACTATGTCTCGGCCCTGCCGCTGAACATACTTTTCCAGGTGAAGGTCACGAATAATGCTGCCGCGAGGGAGGTGTTTCCCGATGCACTGCTGGGTCATTCCATACGCTTGTACTACCCCGAATATAAGTCGTTCGCGCGGTTCATGAGGGAAGGGATTATTGCGGGTCTACGCCTGGAGAGTGCCCGGGATGTTAGGAACATCAAGATTGTCGCCAAGAAGGCTGGGGAGGTTGTCGCAGAGCTGGACATCCTTTCGGACGGCGAGGTGTGGGAAAAGGCTATGCGGGAATTGAGGAAAATAGGGATTGGGAAACATGGCGAAGGGGGAAGGAAGATGGCGAGCAGTGTGCGGTTGACATTGGGGTTGAATTATTGGGGGAGGTAGTAGTGGTATTATTATTATTATTATTGTTGTTGTTGTCGTTGTTGATGTCCATTCCCCTTTACGAGTTCACGACGTTTAAACGAAGAGCTGTGGAGTACTGCGCGACCCCAGTTGATCCGCGGCTTGGAAAGTCGACACGTGTATTTTTTTTTTTACTCGAGCACTCGATAATTGTTTTGATGGTTGAAGATGGGAGTGCTTGTATATAAACATATAGGGTATGAGTAACCTCCGAAAGCCGTGCCGTGATTTGCTGTTCCGTGGTTGGGGCCTTGGGTACCGTACTGTACAGTACGAGTATCATACCGGTAACTTAACGGAGGATCATATGATACTCGAGTACGGTATAGGTATAGTATGCTGCTCGATGTCAAGCCTGAGCTTGAGTACGGGGAACCCGAGGATGCTGCGGGCTTCCGAGGCTGGGCTGGAATGAACGATCCTTCAATGCACACAGGAGATGAGAAGGTGATGGCTCGGATTGACCCTATCCTTCTGTAATGCTTGTATGATGCCAGTACCTGCATATCCGGCACGAAGGGTTCACTCAACCCAAATCAAAAAGTGAAATCGGGAGTGAACGCACCATAGAACAGGGGGATTATTGAGAGAGGCGCTTGATAGAACTACTCGGGATTTACACTTTAAAAAAAGTGGGGAGTGCTCAGGGCTTGATGGGTGGGGTTTAAGATAGGGTATGATAGGTGTCCCGTGTTATGCGGCTGAGTATGATATGTGGCACTCGTCTGATCACCACCCCATCCAGATTCCTGACCACCCTTGTATGATAGATGAGTGTACTCGAGTACTACGGAGGTATCGTGCAGCGGATAAGTTTTGTCGATTCCGCTAGCAAGGGTGCGCTGCTAGCAGGGGGGTCAGTGAAGCAAATAGTGGCTTGGAGACAATTCCAGGTTGCAACCTGAGTGAGGCCATGCGAGCACAAGCAGGAACATTCCGCCGGTGTATTTTCAATTTATTCCTTTCATATGTATCTACTATTTGGTAAAGGGGCCATTTGCCTCACCCAATAACTGCTTGACATCTGACTGGCATGCTTTCTATCAGCTCTTTAAATTCATACTGTCCCACAGCTCTTCAAGCTTCCTTAACTACATCCTGTAATCTATCATATGTTATATTTTCTAGAAAATTATCTTGTAGACAATTTTTCATAATATGCCATACTTTTTTATTAGGATTTAAGTCAGAAGAGAAATAAGGCTAGAAAATAATATTAGCAAAAAAATAATTCCTGCATCAGAGGTGTCTGCAGTGTTTTTTGATGCAACCAGGTAGGATTCTGGATCCAATATATCCTGTATATTTTCTGCTTAGCTATCTTGTTTGACTGTATCCTGTCCTTGAGTACTACTTAGGTACCATGTCTGATTGTATTCTGTACATCCTAGTACTTAGGTTAGGAAGTTACATATTCAGATTGTATTTTAAGAAAGAGATGCTAAGTAGTTACTATTCTGAGATTTTAAGTAATAGTTATAGTTGCCAGCTACTCCTTCTTACTACTTTCCTACTAGCTTCTCTCCTACTAACCTCCCCCTACCAGCTCTCTCTTTTACAAGTACTTCTCTATTCTTCTTTCTACCACCCTCCACCATCTCTCCAGTATTTGGTACAGGGATTTATTGATTTTATAGGCTTGTCAAGTTAGTAAGGTTCTGGTTAGGTGCTGATATTAATACCTGGTTTCTTAGATGTGCTATAAATACAACAACTGATACTTGATGTCTTATTTCTACTTGATGTCAACTTTCCAAAAGTGTAAAGAATATCTAACCAGTAGGATTGTAGTCTATTATGAAAGGGGCATTTTCTTTGATAAAAATCTTACTTGGATACCAGGTTTCATATGGGTACTGTTTTTGGAAAATGATTATACTTTCCAGTTGCTACAAATCAGGTTGTATAATTTTCAGAATTTTGTGGCTGATAGAAAAGGCTCTAAGCTCTTTGAAATATATTTGGATTTAAATTTGGAGCAATATTAGCCCTATCTTTCTCTTTTTCTCAAAGCAGGTTTGGTTGACATGCAAACTAAATTTGGTTCTAACTCAAAACAAAAAAAAACATAAGTGTAGTTATTTTCTCAAAACAGCACCCATATGATCCCACTAAGAGCAGTGGCTGATACTTAGCACCCTAGTTCTACTGAATACCATATTTTCAATAGTATAATAAATGTCTATTGAGCACCAATATATATAGAGTCCCAGCTGGTTATGGAAGTAGTATTGCTTCAGGTAAAGTGCTGACTTTGATACCAGATTCTGCAAGGGTTAGGCACAGTGCTAGATACTCAGTATTCTAGTTCTACTCAATACTAGCTTTCCAACAGTATAATAAATGTCTTCCTGGTACCAATAACTATAGAAATAGAGCCTGAGATAGAAGTAGTATTTATCTAAGCCAGGTTGGGCATATGTAATGATCCTACATTATAGAACTATGGCAACCTATGTTTATGCCCATATATAAGACCAAGAGGTCCCATAATAGACTAGTTGGGCATGTTGGAGCATGTCTGAGGGATACCTGATGGGCCGGGTATCTTAAAGAACAGAATGAACTTAAGGAATACATATATCTAAGTAGTGGAAGTAATGTGACTACATCCTCTCTAGCCTAAGGATAGGTCTGAAGGCTGGGTAAGTTTATCCTGCCCAGGAGAGTCATGTTACCCTGCTATGGGGACCAGTTTTGTATCACCATGGATATACTTACCCTATCTTTGGAACGCTATTACCCTATCTGCCATTGGAAATGCTCTTGGAGGAATTTTGAGAAATGTTAGAATTATCTGTTACATAATGGCAATTGACAGGCACTTGCTTGTACAGTGATCAGAAGACCATGGGAGGAGCTATAGTGCTTTGACCATACTATAACTTGGCAGAATTATTTTCAACAGGTACCTGAGGCCCCAGGGTTCGTCCCAGGCATTATAGGCCAAAATGGGTGAAGTTGCTGTCTTACTAGTTAAGTGGAGTCTATGAAGATGTATCTATAACACTGTATATGTCGCTGCCATCCATCAGACTGGAAGCTGTTCACAGGATATATAAGGAGGCCAAGGTGGGAAGATCAGGTACTTTCTCTAAAAGGAACAGGGTGAAACAGACCAAAACTGACAGAGTTAGTATGAGCTATCCAGAAGGGTCCCTAGAGTAGTCATAGGTAGTACTGGAAACATCTGAGAAGGTTTTATGCCAATCAAGCCTACATATGCTCCTTTGCTGTAGGTTCTTTATAGGTTGTTTGAGGACTCTAGTAGCATGATACTTATCACAGTGTGTGGTATGCTGGGGGTAAGGGACCATGGGTAGTGCTGAAGGGTCCTGCCACTACCACCACTCTCTGTGAGAGCTCTTGTAATGTATTTACGCTGGGGCGCTAATCACGTCATGAGGTACAATGGAAGAGAACTGATGATCTGCCGGAGATTAACAGTTCTTAGGCTCACTAAGGGAGGCTTCGGTGGTATAGTAGGAAAATAGATATAACCGTTTAACTGAGTATATTAGAATACTATCTGTTGAAGTCTGCCGTTTCCAGAGTGGAAGATGGCAGTCTTTTTAAGTACATGTGTTTGAGTATGATCATGAATTCTCACTCATATTCTTACTCAATCAATCTGTGAAACTAACCAAGTATCAACTGATACTTAAAACAAAATGCAAAACAAACTAAGTATCCACCGATACTTGAAACAAAACATAAAACAAACTAAGTATCAACCGATACTTAAAACAATACATAAAACAAACTAAGTATCAACTAATACTTAAAACAAAATATAAAACAAACTAACCGAGTACCAGCTCCAGTTATATTTCCCAAAACAAAAACAATTTCCCAAAAATCAAAACCTTTACCCAAACAAAGCCAAAAAGGTATTCTGAGCCTCGCTTAGCTTGTCGTCATCCTCAAAAGCTGACTGGTATTAGCAGTTGTAAAAACATGCCGGTCCTCCAATACATTCTTTCTGGAGGTCAAGCCCGGCACAGCTGCAACACACGCAGGGGGTGAAATACACCGGGGCACATTGTAGGTGGTACACCTTTCTGATTGATTTCCACCACTGGTTAGTGATTTTGCAATCCATATGGTTGCATCTGAGGCAACAGAATATGTAGATAGGTTTCCATCTCTGTTGTCCCACAATATTACCGAGGCGTCTAAAGTTTAGACGCCAAAGGAAGGAGTCTTTCTCATGAAGCTTTGTGAAATTGCAATTATGCATGGTGTGATAGGTGAGGTAGTTCGTGTTAAGGTAGGTATGCATAGTAGGGTGTGGTAGGTAATGTGCGAAAGGTATAAACACCTCTTGTTTCCAGAGTGCAGTGGGGGGATGTTTTGGAGCAATACTGTCTGAGTGCAAAGTGCATCTTTTTATGTACTTTTCTATCTTTTACTATCGAGGGTGCGCGGGTTTTGTGTGGGGGTGTGTGTGTATATATGTGTCTATGTGGGTCTCGCTTATATTTTCTGATGGTGCGTGGGTTTCGTGTAGGGGTGTATGTATATGTGTGGGTGTATATGTGGGTCTTGCTTATATTTTCTAAGGGTGTGTGGGTTTCGTGTAGGGGTGTATGTATATGTGTGGGCCTTGCTTATATTTCCGAGGGTGTGGGTGATTCTGAGTCTTGTTCAGTCTCGTCCCCTAGTGAGAACTCATTGTTGCTGTAGGGTGCCCAAAAGCCTTTTAGTGTCTATGGGGTGAGTTCCCATCAGTTTACATTAGGTATTGTTGGTGCCTAGCACATTGTTACCTCATGGATTGTTGGTAGGTCTCCTTCCTTGTTATTAGACTACTATTTATGAATCAGTTCGGTCGCGTTTGTGAGTCCTTCAATGGGTTCCCAGCTGTTCTTGCTTGCTGGGTATTCCTTTTATTTTATCAAAAACTCGTCCCTGTTGTACCGCTGTAGGTAATCCAAGATTTCTTCAACTTTTCATTCCGGGTAGTCATTTATTAGTATTAGCACAGGCTTTGCATGGGCTTGTCTGGGAAATCTTTCAT